GGCAGCACGTGCTCCCGTCGGGGCAGCTCGTCTCCTCGTCACACTTGACGTTCCCTGATGTCACCTGTGCCCCCCGGGGCAGCGCCGGGGTCTTCCTCAGCCAGGGCAGGCGGGTGCCCCCCCCCTGCAGGCAGCTGCCCCCCTCGGGGTCGCAGGTGTAGCCCTGGGGGCAGCAGTGCACGTGGTCGGGGCAGCAGACGGCCTGGGGGGCGAAAAGGGGGGGCATGAGCACAGGGGAGCCCCCCCAGGCACCCCCCAGCTTCATGCCGGGGACCCCCGGGGACAAATGTGCCCTCTCCTGTTTGTTCCTGCTGTCCCCAGTTCCCCCTGAACCAGCCTGGCATCATCCTCACTTTGAGGGGGGGGCAGATATGGGGACCCCCTTGTGATGCTTGTCCCTCTCCATGGGACACATGGAGGTCCCTGAGCACCCTTGTGTCCCTGAGCATCCTGGTGGCTCTGTGTCCCTGGATCCTCTCCTGCCACTGGAGCCCCAAACTGGTCCCAGTTAGCACAGAGGGTCTGACTGGGGAGGGCCAGCAAAGGGGCCCACTTTCACCTCCTTCCTGTGGGATGTTGGGGGTGGGAGACTCCTATAACTCCTGGGGGACAGTGGACATCTGTCCTCACCCCACCCAGGGGAAAGGGGACATCTGCCCTCATCCTTCAAGGACCAAAGGGACATCTGGCCTTGTCCCTCTCAGCGGGGACAGGAAACATTGGCCTTTGTCCCACCAGGGCACAGGGGAGCCCCACTCCACCCCACGGGGTAGAGGTGGATCTGTGGGAGGGGACAGGAAGTGGCCGTGTCCTGCTGAATGTCCCCACGTCCCCCATCCAGGTGCTCCAGCCCCTCGGGGTCCCGCGAGCCACGTCCCCCCCTCCGAGGTCATCTCTGGGATCTCTGCACAGCTCAGGTCCCCCCACCCCCCTGGGCACACCACCCCAGCCCCCCACCCTGCTGGGGACCCCAACGTGTCCCTGTCCCCACAAGGGGGGGTGGGAAGAGCCCCCCCGGACCTGCTCGAGGGGGCAGCAGCCCCAGGTGCCCAGGCTGAGCCGGCAGCACGTGCTCCCGTCGGGGCAGCTCGTCTCCTCGTCACACTTGACGTTCCCTGATGTCACCTGTGCCCCCCGGGGCAGCGC